TGATGCATTATTTATTACTTGACGTTTTTCTACTGATGGCAGCATGAAGGTAGACTTACCAGCCTGGTAATGCCATGTCATGTAACCTCAACCCGTACAGTTGTAAAATGTTTGCCTGGTTCCATTTCTGCTACCAGCAGTAGAAGCACAATGGTAAGAAAGAGAGAGCATGCACAAGGCTCTTGGGCTTTGGTGGAATGAGCACTAAATTTACTGATATGGCTTTTGGTTTTTTGTTTAGAATAGCATCCTAAGCCACATCTTTCGCAACTTGGGAGCTCAGCTCATTATCCTTGCATAAATGAGCCTGGAATATTCTGTTGCTGCTTGTAGATTTAACAACACCCCAAAATAATAAGCCAGTCATTCAGACAGCATTGCTTTGACCTAAACTAAAGCTTAAATGCTAATCTTGGATTGGGGCTGCACTGGGTGTGGGCTCAGCTGCATGGGGTAGGTGGCAGTGCTGGGATGGGTGGCTATGGGGGGCCTACAGGAAATGGGGTGGCTATAGCCCCCGAAGCCCCCTCTAGTGCTGCCTCTGCTTGGGGCTGTCCACTCTGTTTCCTTTCCCTTGGGAGCCCTGAGCAGGGTCAGTGCTAGGGGGAGGGTTTGGGGGGTTATAACCACCCCAAAATTCCCTATAGCCACCCCTCCCAGCACTGCTGCTGCTCCCTACCCTGCACATCTGAGTCCGCCCTGCTCTTGCTTGCCTCAAGCATAGCCTCACCCCAGCTCTCCTGCTGGGAAGAGGCTGGTGCTGCCCCTGGCCTCAAGCTCGCAGCAGGCAGCCCACCCTTGTCCCGCACAAATCTAGGGGGGCACATGCTCCTCATGCCTCCCCAGGGGTGCGTACAGCGGCATGGAGCCGCCCACGGCTCTGTCCTGCTCCTGGTCCCGAGGTCATATTCACTGTCCTGGCTGGTGAGTGCTTACCCTTGCTCCTGCCCTACTCCCTCCCTCACCGTGGGAGCCTCAATTGCCACTCCCCTTCCTCCCCCCCATGCCCCTCCCTCCCACAGACTTAACAGCAAGACACTGCTTTCCAAGCTGCCCTGCTGCATTCCTGGTCATGTGCATGCTGCAGCTGCACACATGCACATGGCATTTATTAGTGATATTGGCAAATAAAAAGTCAATTGTCAATAATGTTTATTTTTCTGTCATCGGTGCCAGTCCGATATGTGACCTCTATTGGTGCCAATCCGATATCAGTGCACCTCTGTTACAAAATGATTTCCTCTCTTCTGTGGTATTAGAAATCCTCACAAATCAATAGCTCTTAATCTAGATAAGTTTTTGATAAGACTCCCTCTGAAAGAAACTGGGGTTTTTTCTGTTGCTTCTGTTCAGCTAAACTGGCTGGTCCTGAGTCACTGTCATAGTTCTCCTTTGTGTATAATTTCTGTTTGTATTTCAGTAACTAGGTTTGAGGTAGCGTTAAAGTGCTGTCAGTTGTAACTTTAGTCTGATTGTATTAAGGAAAATCGGAAATATTTTCTACTAAGTTTTCAACTATGATTAATGGGTACATAAAACTATTATCCATTTCTGCTGCCTCTTGATCTCTTGTGCAGCAGTGAGCCACTAGATTTTATATATCATCTGTTTATGAACTTGTACTCCATTGCTCCACTGATCTTTTTTTTATTGTTGTTTTTTGCTTGTTTTTTAGTACTTAGTAATGGACTACTATGTGGGTGGTGATTTGCTGACACTTCTCAGTAAGTTTGAAGACAGACTTCCAGAAGATATGGCCAGGTTCTACATTGGTGAAATGGTGCTTGCTATACATTCCATACATGAGCTACATTATGTGCACAGGTAAAACTGCTGTTCCTTTAAGGGAAGACACGTGTACAATTTCGAAAGCGTCATGACCATGCTAATGTGTTTGAGGCAAGTTATTAGGGCCATTTTCCAGCTGTACTTGTATTAAGCCTTCAGCTTGCTACATCATTATATTTCAGTACATTGATAATATTTCACTACCTTTAAAATTGGTCAGTTATTAAAAATAGTTGGCCTAACAGAAGCCTGGAATTATATGGATTTTAATGAAATATAAACCAAGCCTTTTAATTTATTGTTCCCTTGGACATTTCACTTAATGGCTCTAGGCCAGGGGCTTTTTGGCTTGAGTGCTGAAAAACACTACAGTGCCTACCTCAGAAGGTGCCAGAGTGCTAACATGGCAGAAAAACAAAATGAGGGCAAGGGGTACATAGCAGGATGCCCTGCTGCCCCTGCCACCCAGCCCGGGCTCTATGGCTGCCAGCAGTTCCCCCACCTTGTTTCACTTTGGCTCTGGGTAACTGCTGGAACCCAGACTGCTCCCCACAGGGCTTGCAGCATCCCAGCTGCCTGCTGGGAGCAGCCTGGGCTCCTGGCTGGCAGCAGCTACCCAGAGCCGGGGCCAGCTGCAGCCAGAAGGCTCCAAACAGCTGTTTCGGGCTCCGGCATCAGCTCCACACCAGTGCGTGCACGTGAGCCTCGGAGCGGGCAGTGGGGGAGGAACCATAGGCAGCACAGCCCCGGTCTCTCCCCCACTCCCAGCACAGAGATGATGGCAGGC